TCAATGGGAAAGGTGTTCTTCTTCTCCACGACAATGCACGTCCACATGTGGCACGTTTGATGCAACACATGATTATGGAGTTGAATTGCGAAGTTCTTCCCCACCCCACCATATTCTCCAGATATGGCACTATCGGATTACCATCTTTTTCACTGCAACACCATCTTAATGGAAAACATATGCAAATGTTGAAGGTGTTAAAAAGGACATCAACATGTTTTTGCTTCAAAGCCAAGTGATTGCTTTAATCAGGGCATTAACAATCTGATTGTAAAACGGAAAAGCATCCTCGATAAGAATGGAGACTATTTAATAAATTTTTGTTTTGATATATAAGTTGTTTGGGTTTTTTCATCTAAAAAAATGCAACATTAATTTCTTGATGACCTAATATATATATATATATTATACTTTTCATTTATTTAAATATGTCTCATTAGTTTTGATTGAAAACACACTTGATGTGTATTCCAACCAATACAGCATTAAGTTTATTAAATGCACTATGAAGCTTATTAAGCTATAAAGCCATTCTCATGATCAGCTCAGCAATGCATCTATTTTAGTTTAACTAGGTTGGTGATAAGGAGCATCATTCAAAGTTTCATATGAATGTACACTAAGAAGTGTACTGATTTATCCATCCTTGTATTCGTATATTCCAAAAGAGTTTAAAGATCTTTCTCTGTCTAGTTATATTCAGTGCTCATATATTCTGAGATGTTTGGTTTTGTAGCTGTAAAGTGAAATATACTAAACTTACACAATGTAATAAAACCATTTGATGCAAGCTACATACTGTATTTTTACATTAAGGAACTTTATCCAATTGTAACAGAAAAGTTGGATTGGTATGATATTCTTTTCAAAAGGATATAAGTTTTCTATTTATTTTTCCTTCATTTTATTAGCTCTTTTCTTTTAGTTCTTTGTACAAAATATTTAGTATTTTTTTACAGTAGGTTACTCAACAGCTCCTGCTTGTCATATTGATTTGAAATATGATTAATTCTTAACTAAACAGAAAATAAAAATTTCATTTTCATGAAGAATTTGAATGAGTAATTTCCTTTTTTAACATGTTTTTTTAGGGTCACATCAGTCTAGGGAGGAAAGGCTACCATGTTCCAAAACAAGGAACTGTTCAAGTGGTACTTTTGTTTTTTTTAATTAACACATGTTAATAACTTGAGTACAGTAATCAATTATTATTCTGATTTCCTAAATGTTATTCAAGTAAAGTTATTTTTGATTGTCACATACTCCAGTTGAGAATTTCATTTGGAAAACTTGTTTAAGATGATCATCAATTGGTTTTGAAAAAAAATTACAAGGGCCTTAAGAAATTTAGCCAGAGCAATCACTTGTTAAACTAAGAGTTGAACTAGACAGTTTTATTCATATTCCCAAATGGATGTTGTTGTTTTTTGTTTCCTTATGAAAACTGTATTTTTAATGGAGAATGTAGCATGTTTATAATTAGTTCAAACTATTGTATGAACTATAAAAATTCACACACTATTGTATTTGTTTTGCTGTTTGAAAAAAGTGTAAATAAAAAAGTAAATTAATTATTTTTATTATCAACAACTAATGTGAATACTCTACATTAATAGAGATCTTGTAAGTACCACACATCAAGCAGTAGTGATTGCTATCTCACAGATCTTATAAGATGTATATTTGCCTACAATAATAATGCTAGAAAAGCATCTCTCTCTATGTTTCTTGCATTAGGTTACATAAACAATAAGAAAAGAGATGTACATAAAATAATTGTCAGGTTAATTATGCAATGTGTAGTTACTACATAAATAAATGTTTATATATAACTCATAGTTAATTTCCATGTTTAAAGTCACTAATGTTTTTAAACAGGAAATTATAATATATTTATTTTAAAATGCATCCTAGACTTTATTCAATCCACACCGAACAGTAGTCAAGATGTTTGTAGTGAGGTATAATCTGTCAGACATGCCACCAAACTGCCAAACTTTTCTGCGTCAGCGAACGCTCTACATGCCAGTAGGAGCTTCTCAAAATGATCCCGAGGCTCGAAAATGGCTGAGGTATCTCGTACATCTCAGGTGTGTAAATTAATTAACCTTGTTTAAGGGTTTGAAAAAGAAATTTAGATCTTCTTAAAAAATAATAACTATGTAATGACTAATGGAAGTATCTTGATTTATTTACAGTAATGCATAGCTTACACTTTTTTGTTTCATATGCTATCCCAAACATTTATTGTGTACTAGCTGAGTTACCCAGTGCTGCACAGTGAAAATTTAGATTTGAAATGTATAGATCAGTATTTTTTTCAGCAAATTATTCAGTAAGTAAACAAAAGCTGTGATGCAAGAAATAAAAAAGCATTTAATCAAACAAAGCTTTATTTGAAATTAGAATTTACAATACTTCTTTATATACAACATTGCATGTTTTTCCAAAAGGAGAGTATACATAAAGATTGTTAGCTGTTCCTACTCTAGAGCATCTTACATACAGTCGACCATGAGAGAAGCAGTCTTCTTGTAATTGTAGCCCAACAACTTACTGGAAATTGTAAGCACCTAAACTGAAATGGAATCTCTGATGTTATTAGAGGTATCCTAGGAATAAAAGTATCTTCACCCTTGCCACAACCAGTTTGAATTTGTGCTTCAATGACATGAGGCTGTAATGCCTTTGTTATTAATCTGGTACCATTGCAGAGCTTAGGCTGATCTAAATTTCGTAGAAGCATTATAGGAGCTCCAACTTTAAGTTGTAGTTGGTGAGGAGGCAATCCTGGAAATTCCAAAGAATTTAGAAACTCCGTTGGATAGTTGACAACTTCATTTTGATCAATAACTGTATCAATTGATTTGTAAATATAAGGATTCCCTGGAATACTTTGGAGTTGTTGTTGGTTGGTAGAATTAACTGTCACATTTTCTGGTGCTAATATTGCTCTTTCACACAACCAAGTAAAATCTTTGTAATGATAAGTAAAGCTAGTAAATACTTTTCCTGTTAATTCATTAACACTTTGGACCACTATACTGATTGTAGATGTAATGAATTTGTCGTCATGGTCCACAGGAACTTTTCCTTTGCCAAGCTGTAGCAAGTTTTGAACAAACAGACCTGAATTGCGATCACCATAAATTCTTGCTCATATGTTGGTTGTAAGCTTCAAGGTTTTAACATTGTGCCACAAACAGGAAGATTTAAGGCATGCTCGAATTTCATCAGCTTTTGTTCCCTTAGGTATAACCAGCAGAGTCTGGTGAAAATCTTCTGATACGACAACAGTTACACTGCCCATCAATGTCTTGTGGTTTCTCACATCTTGTAGAGTTTTGTTCAGGGCCTCCAATGCTCTTTTATGGGCCATTGTACATTTATCCCAGACTATAAGTTCACATTTTTTAAAAACCTCTCCCATGCCAGAATTTTTAGTAATTTTACAAACAGCTTCATCATTGGTAGCTAAATCCAAAGGAAGTTTGAATGCAGAATGAGCCGTGCGACCTCCAGGCAACAGTGTAGCAGCTATACCAGAAGAGGCTACTGCTACAGCAATTTTATTTTGCTTGCGAACTTTGGCCAGTATTAAATTTGTGACAAATGTTTTTCCAGTACCTCCAGGAGCATTCAAAAAGCTGAGAGATACTATTCACTATAATTGAATAAGCAGTTCTCTGATCAGGCAACAACTTGGGCTCATTTATATTTTCATATTCAGTTAAGAAGTTGATATCATATGATGTTTCTCTTATAAGCTCTGTAGCTAAATTGTTGACTTCTGTTCTATTGGTTTATGGGAGGCCAAATGAAGGT